TCACCAAATAGATCCAAATGAGATCGAATATCAGCAAATGCATTAGGTGTCAAAAAACAATTTCCATCAAAAGGTAGAATCCAACGAGCATTTAATTGAGATTTGCCATGAGCAAGGGCTACGTTCCGACCACCATTCTACGAAAAGATGAAAAAAAAAGGTTACAGTTTATAATATATAATTAAAGAATAGAGTTTACTTACATTATTCATAGCATATAAATTTTTATCAAAGTAAGTATAATCAATAGATCTTAATTTTGCAACCTTTGAAAAACGCATGAATTCATCCGAATTGAAAAAATCTGGTATTGGAAAGTCATCAATACGAAAATCAAGTTTTGAATACTCATTTTCGATAAAAGGAATTCTAATATAATCTTGTTTATGCAATTTTAAAAGGTTTATTAAAGCATTTTCGTAATCTGAATTAGCAATTCTATTAAGTATCCACCATTTTTTTGTATTTAAAAATTCGGATTCATGTTCTAATATAAATTTCACATTCCTCAATGTTTGTCCAGCTCTATGGCGAGGCGGGAGATCATTACCAAGTATACGATATAATATAATCTTATCTCTTATTATTGGATTAGGAGTAGGTTGATATGAAGAGGAATTGTCTATTAAAGAATTATTTCTAAGAGTAAGCCAAGGATATATTAAGTAAAAGTATAAAAGTCCAATTATAGTAATTCCTAATAATCTGAAAAGTAGTATTAATACTTTTGAATCAGTAGGTTGATAAGAAATTTTCCGGTTAAAATGAAAGTTAGGTTTATGTTTATTAGAAGAGATCTTTTGATTGAAATTTCCTTGAGGAAGAAATGGGGATAAATTATGATTCATATTTGACCTAGAAGGACAAAACGAAGGTAATTTAGGTCTTTTTTCAACTTTCGCCAGGAGCCTTGCCTGGCGGGTTTGCATTCTTGACCCTTTCTTTTGCAATAATGTAGAGAAAGTATCAATAAGTTTGGTAGATCAAATAATTAATTAATGTGGTATATATACGTATATTTTTTTTTTGTAAAACATATTAGATTGTGCCAATGGAGAAACAAAAGTTTGAATTTGTCACTTTACCAAAAATGTTCCTTAGAAGCTTAATTCGGTAAGGTGATAAATTCATTTTCTTGGAATTTCTGTTTTAATAAATGTAACAAACAATAATTAATTCCTTATATGCAGTCATACAATTTCGGAAAATAACTGTTACAGCGTATAGTTTGCGTACAAATTTTTGTTACAACGTATAGTTTACAAATTTTTGATGATTATTATGATATTGTTGCCAAGAATTCAAATAATATCTGTTTTAGCTAAGACAAAAGATAAAAATAAAATAAAATAAATGAATAAAATTAGAAAATATGAATGATTCTAAAACATATTAATAGTAAATGATAAAAATATGAAATAAAATGAGCGTCGCAAAGGAAAAACCAGACTTTGGGCTTTTATTATTTATTATTTGACTCAAAAACTAAATTTACTTATAAATGTCTCTGATCGGAGATGAGTACAAGTAGTATAATCGTAATTAAATGTATGTAATTTACATAGCATGTAAATACAGTATATGTAATATAAATGGTAGTCGACAAAAAGCTTTACTTATTTGTGCCGGTAATACATCCCAAAAAAGAAATTATTATCTGTTATTTTGTAAATTAAACAAAGTGCGTAAAAACACAAGTTTAGGATTAGAACCTTAACATTAAAAGCTATAGACATATTTGCTGTTGTCTATTATATGTAAAATTTCGTTCCCAACATTTTTAATTAATGCATTATGGTCGATTTAAACACTAGTTTTTGAGTATTTTCGCTTTTTCTTTCGCACGTGTTCGGAATTCATATTGGGCTGATCCGGAACGATCAAAATTTGAACTCATTGATTGGCTGTTTCCTTTGTATTACCGGCACGATTCCCCGAAAGTTATTTACCCGCCAATTCATTTACCCGACGCCGTAATGCCGACATGCTATTTCATATACATCTCATTTTTTCGATAAGGCATGTATTTGGCATTACATGTTTTCGACAATCCTTTTCTTAGACAAGACATTTCCCCGACAATTATTTCTCCGACATATGATTCTAACAACATTAGTTCTAAATCAACCAACCCTAAAGTTAGATCGAGCCAATTTTATGTCGAGGCAATGTCCTGCCTAAGAAAAGGATTGTCAAAAATATGTAATGTCGAATATATGTTTTGTCGAAAAAACGTGCTGTAGATGAATAGTATGTCGGCGTCGGGTAAATAAGTTGGCGGGTAAATAGCTTTCGGAAAACTTAAAATCTTATTTGCCAGTTTAAATCACTAGTAATTTTTGTCCCTAAAGTTTTACAAATCGGGAATTTGCTTGATTCATCATGTACCTTTCAATTATTAATTTGCATACTGATACGTATCATTTTTAAATTGAATTATTAAATTAATAATAATAGAATGCAAAAAGTCGAGTTCATGACTTTTTTTTTTTTTTTAGGATAATTTTCTGACGACTTTGATCAAATACTTCAGTACTTGAAGGACAGAATCATTATGAATATATTAAAAAATTCAGATCTCAGTGTAAACAGACGTCAAGCAAAATACTACATACCAAATTCGGAATTTCTAGGAACCGTAATATTTAAGAATATTTAATTCGCAATATTAAAACCCAATTCATAACGTTTAATACTGGCCAACCCATGCATTTTTTGAAAATTATAACTTTAATAATCAAAAGTAACAATAAATAACAATCTCGATATAGATACGCACAGATTGCACAACGACTTCTAATCTGCGCATGGCGTATAAAATTAATATGCCTGCTAATCTTTTTTCGATTTGATCGCTCATGCTCGTTGCATGCGACTGATCGGTCGCATATGACGAATATTTGGTGATCGGTCATATCGAAAGAAATACACACCGTACGTACGTACGTACCAGGCAGAGCCAGTGGATTTTTGTAGCATCTAAAATAGCGCTATTTTAGCAAAATAGCTAGTGACCATTGTTTTGTGCTAAGATGCGATTTTTGCTATTATCGCACTAAACACGTGATTATTGCCTTTGTTCTTTGACTGATTTGTTTAACAATAATCACGTAGCGAAGATAAATTTATAAAATAATATGTTGTTTTTTTTTTTGGGAGAAAAAAAAAATGCCGCCAGTTCTTTCACTTTTAGATCGGTATCCTCAATACAAAACTGATTTCTATGAAAGTGAAGAAAAAATTTATTGTACTTTTTGTAAATGCCATGTTGATAATCGTAAAAAACATAATCTAGATGCACATCTAAAAACTAATAAACACGAAAGGCAAAAAAAAAAATGCCGAATCTAGTGAAACTTTAAATCAACAAGATTTAATTACACTTCAAACCCAAGTAACTGATAAACAGGAAATTAATATCGATTTAATTAAGGCTTTTACAAAGGCGGATATTCCTTTAGAAAAAGTTGAAAAATTAAAACCGTTCTTACAAAAATATTGCACAAATGGTATATTTTTTTTTTTTAAAAAAAAACATCAATTATAAAATATATTAATAATTTAATTTATTAGGCAATTCAATCGTAAGTGCTTGTCAGCTTCGACAACGATATTTGCCTCTTGTTTATGATATTGAATTAGAGAAATTGCGTATTTTTATTCGAGACAAAAAAGTTTGCATTACTATTGATGAGACAACTGACGAATATGGAAGAAGTGTTGTCAATATACTTTTTAGCTTTGATAAATTAACAAAACTTGTAAAAACTGAATTTTTTATGGAAGTTAACTTTTTCACTATTTCACAATTAGTTGTTTCGGCGATTTCTTTTTATAACTTGCCCTTTGAAAATATTATTTTATATATTAGCAATAATGCAAGTTATATGAAGAAATCGTTTTCAGATATTTTGTCACCATTAATTCCACAAATGCGGCATAATACTTGCTTTGCACATAAAGTAACGGGAGGTATAATGGCGCAGGGGGGTAATTTGGCGCACCGAAAATAACTCAAGAAAACAGGATTTTTTACTAAGCAAACCTAACTTCATCCACTAAATAAAGTTATTGAAAATACCGTTTTCTAGATATGTTCAAATTTTGATGCGATTTGGCTAATTTTTTATTAATCGCTTTTCACGTTATACATTCTGGAGCAGAAAGTTTGCTTTTGTACCAAATGTATAATGTGGAAATCGATTAATGAAAA